ATGCAACATGGTTGACATATTTAAACAACTCTAAAGTGTGTGTCATATTGATTGAATACTAGCTCTTATATGGTTCAAAAGGTAACTGCATGTTGTACAAACACATATTAAATTGTCATACAACACTATTTCATTTTATACAGATATTTGAAAGGGTTTTTGTCATAATGTATGTTAAAGTTTTTCTGTTTTGTGATACACAAGTATAATTTCAAATGGAAAGAGGGCAACAGAATTATTAAGACACATCATAAGTCTTAAGCAAAAATATACAAAGCTGTTAAATTAAAACAGTAATTCCCAGCCTTCTATACAGAAAAACTTCTACACTTAACCCAAGTTTGGATTTGTAGAAACAATTGCTACAGTCCTTGTAGAAAGAAGATAACATCCCAATTGGACAAACAACCAGAGAGAAATAACAAATGGTTTTAAACAATAAAAACAAGCAAAAGAAGAGGTACTTATAAGGCTGCTTTTTTAGCCTAGCTTATAATATTATCTGTCAATAAATATGGTAATAAAAAAGCAAAAGTATGATTTAAGAGGGGTCGTGGTATCATAAGAATAGATGAGCATGTCTTGCACTAATGCAAGATAATAAGGTGAAATAACAATGATTAGGTACTGGAACATTTATGCACAATTGCTAATTGATGTTATTTCTACATAGCAAGGTTATTTACCTTAATTTGCTATTTTATTAGAAACAAGATGATGAGTAGTGCAAGTAAATTGATAGAATAACACATACATACACACACACAAAGAGACATACTGTAAGTAAAACATTTGGGTGTTCATATTTTGACATACACCACGCACATTATACTTTACTAGTGTACACTCAGTTTTGTTGCATAAATATTCTAATCATCATCTGAGCTACTCCAACCTCTAGATACATTGCTGATGGAATCACTACATTTTGGTGTATGTGTCTGGCAGATTTTTGGTGCTATGTCAGTAATGTGACATGTGTATAGCATTCATGGACTCATAACCCAACTTTACTTTGGCAGAACCACACTAAACAATTTGAAGACCAGGCGATATGCTTAATCCAAATGTTGTAACTTTTTGGGAGGTAGGCTTTGATTGTTTTTTGAGACCAAAGTATACCTAGCTTTTCCTTAGGTAAGAACATGTAATGTGATCCATCATTCATAATTTGTGTTCAGTGTTCTGGATCTGAGCTTTCCCTAGCTTATATATGAAGTTCATCCATGGTCAGTTATGAAAAATCTACCATATAACTTTTTTCTCTCTCTAACCCATCCTTTTCTATGTATCATTTTTTAAAAACTTGTTTGGGAGAGCTACCAGTGGAATTATTTGTTGATTAAGGTTATCTTCTTTGTCTACATCCTTGACGCAAAGTACTAAGTCTGAATGCATTGCAGAGGCCACACACACACACACACACACTGAGTACGTAATTTCTTATGTTTGGAACTTGTGAGTAAGAAGGGAATGTGCAAAAAAGCTTTCCACTTTTTCAACTTGCCATTGATAGCTTGTGTAACCCTCTAACCTTTGTCACAAGTCTTGACTCTGTTGCTTCAGCAGTGTGTAGTGATAGATAAGTACACTGGTATTCTTGTTTCAGAGCCCAGTATTAGCTTTGCCAGTGGTCATCCTTTGCATACCAAAAAATGATGATCTTTGAGATGTACAATTTTTTTTCTTCTGATTAAGTATAAATAGTTCTTTGGCCAAAAGTCTTATATGTTTCTAGATGAATTATTTTCAGCAACATGAGTAATATGGTACAAGGTTTACAATCAGTTTAATCTTGCCTTGTGTACTTCATACTTCTTGATGTAAAACAATGTTGATAACACAGGAATTCACAAATCTGTTCTTAGTTTGATTAAAAGTAGGGCTAAACACATAAGAGTGCTTCTGAATGAAGCATTTCTTGATGAAATCGTACTTTTCATAACTGGCTGAACTGATCTTTATGAATCCCAGTAACATTGGGATAATTTATTTAACAGTTGGACTGATAGACATAGTTGTTGGGTTGGCTTCTCACAAGTTACAAATATTTAATATTAGGTTATGCAGTTGTGGGTTAAGTACACAAGCCACCGAGTTATCTCTTAATTCTGTTCTTTCCTCAGGCATAATACATTATTTACTAGATATGTTGTTAGACTAGATAGATTTAGCAATAACTACTTACAAGGAAATTCCTGCTAGGCTTTGAAGAGTTACCTTTCTGGAGTAGCATGGATCCTAGTCACTTTTGGATCTGATCATGGCATTTTATACATTTTATTTTGTATAATTAATGCTCATCATATGACCCAAATTCGCACATGATTCTTCCAACTTGATTGGTATGTTTGCAATTTTTCATCAAACCAAAACCATAACTGTAATTGGTTTATATGGAATTCTCATCAATCATTAGTTGATGAGAACATAAAGTCTTGAACCTATTAACTCAGAATGTATAAATATGAACCAATTAACTTCAGCCTTTTTACATGTACACTTCTATTTGCTACTTCCCATCGGAGTTCTGCTACTCATTTTTATAAGGCTGCTCCCATTAGTTTGGTGTCTGATATCATAAACATTCATTGCTTTTCTCTACCACAATTGCCTCTGTTCGATGCCGATGAGAAGAACCATTGGTTTCTACTTCTCATATTACAGCTTGGAATGAATTTCAATTAACTCGTGCATTTATTTAGTGTTTTCATGTCCTTATTTTGTTAACTTTCTATTATGCCTTTGCCCCTATGTGCATTCTTTCTCTGTCTTACATGTACCTATAAACACATTTGAAAATTCTTATTTTCAAAAAACTTTCAGGATTTGTAATTTAGCAAGTGCTTCATTTACATAGTCAAGGGATTGTCTCAGTCTGTTCCAGGTGTTGTATGAGGTGTGAGAGAAATCCATTGATATAATATGCATTCACATGTATTTCATCTTGCAAAAAATTATATTGTCATATACTTCAGGCTTCAAACTGTTCATCTTCAAGTTGTTTGACACTACATCTATATATATATATATATATATATATATATA